GACTTTTTTTCAAGGAAACCTTAACTTAGACTTTAAGGAAGATCTTAACTTATGGTGCTTTGTGCAACTGGCCCCAGATGTTACTGTTATTTTAATGATTACATGTATGCACATACATTATGCATTGGTGTCACACTGTTAAGTTGTTTTTGTCTTTCTTACTGTTTTTGCAGTCAACACTTGCTCTATCTTATTACAGTCACCTGTGAAGCACTCTGAACTGCACTAGCAGCCATGAACATATACAAATAAAGTTTGATTGATTTATTGATGCACTGTTTCTGTGTGACCGGTGGACTTGAGTGTTGTCTGCATTGTGTTGATATGAAGAGGCCCAGATCATGGATATCTTTGGAGGCCATCTCCATTTATTCCTGACGACTGACAGCAAGAGGTACAAACAAAATCCTCCGCCAATTACGACCATATAACTCAAGCCCCTACACAAATGAAGTAACACAGGAATATGTTAACATAATATACAATAAGTTTAGGCTGAAAAATTAACTTAGAAACATGCTTAAAAATGCTAAAGGTGGGAGACGCCCCTTCATAGGTGAACATAGGGGTACAGAAACTGAGACTCAAATACTTAATATTGCATATGTACATTTGACTTTGTTACACGTATTACTGCTGTATAATTGACCGTGTTACGCACATGGTGTATTTCTCAGACAGCCTACCCATGGTGCTCTTGTACTTCCCAGAAGAAGAAAAGAGGCTTCATTTCAGTATTCCATAGATATTATGTCTGAATCTGTCTCAGTTCACACTTAAAAGACCACTTAATGTTATAACTGTAAATACTGGCATGTAAAATCTTAATTTAAAAGTGCCAAAAAAACCTTTTTGACTTAAAGTAATTAAAACAAATAGTTGATTAATTCATTAGTCAGCTGTCAGAAAGTTAATTGGTAACAATTTTAATCACTAAGAGATACTTTCCCAATTTTTAACCAGCTTTGTATCATATCAGTGTGTGCAGTATGTGTAAATGTTACCAGTGCCCAGATCTCCCTGTTCATCTCTCAGCTTATTTCCATTAGCTCTCAGGGCTGCTGCTCAAACTACAGATTGTATTTCTGCATTTGTGTGTGCCTGCCAGCGTGAAAACAAAGAGTATAGGAGAAGATCAAGAGAGGGTCACCCCTCTTTCTCTTAAACTCCGACCAAACTCAGATTATACAGTAAAACTAGGCAGTGCTGATCAAATATAAACCATGAGTCTGTTACTGTAGTGCCTATTTCTTGAGTAAAATGTTTTCAGAAATACATTTTAGTGCACTGTTTAGCTGTAATATGAGAATTTGTGAACAGGAAGTTGGCGCTATACTGTTGCCTGTATTGTAAAAAAGAGAAAAAGCTGAGATCAAACAGTAAACTAAGCAGCACTGATCAGATATGAACTGGAATTCTGCTACTGTATTGCCTGTTCAAATTTTTTCAGGATCATATTTTAGCATACCATTTAACTGTAACTCAAGATCTTTTGTTACCAGACACAGTTACTTTCTGTGTCAAAATGGCCAAGTTCACATTACATCACCCACCAGCAGACATGTTAATTGGTCCGATGCAGTGCAGTGCATTCTTGCAGTTGTAGGTTTTCTACCTCTTGAGAAAAAGTGAATGCCACAGCCCTTTTTCTCTATGTTTCTTTGGTCATGTCGCACCAATTTTAAAATAATTAATATCTTAATTAAGCCTAATTTTATGAAAAGACCATCTTTCAGCAGTGAAATATGTCTTTAAACAAAAATGACGGCGTTCCAGCTTCTCAAATGCTTCCAAGATTGTAAACTGCATATGGTTTTAAAATGTTGGTCAGACAAAGCAAATAATATGAATATGTCAGCTTGCCTTCTGGGATATTTGATTCTGTGCACTATATTCTGACATGTGACAGACTGTGGATTATCAAACAGGCCTACTGGGCCCAAAGGCTGAGGGGGCCCCTAAGCTAGAGCCTCTGCATGAAATGGCTGTTATTAACTTTGCATTTCTTGTTGCACAGTCAAAGAGTTTAGTCATATATTTCAGCAACAAAGCCCCAAAAGAATTATGTTTTCATAAAGTCTGAGGGAATAGCCTGAATTCACTTTAGAGAAGTCATAAGAAAGAAACCAGCATTATACATTTTAAGTGAGTGTTTACCTCCTCAGTTAATCTATAGGACTTTAGAGGGGTTGAGTACACTGTGCGATATGGGCCTTTCAACTATGTGGGGACAAAATACAATAAGCAGGTGCAGATAAGATGCAGGTGAATGCATGTCTGAGTTAATATGCAGTTGAGGTACAGGTAAAACTTAGTATAGCTGCCCATTTGTTACAGATCAAAAGATTAATCGATTAGTCAAGAAAATAATGGGAAAGTACTGAAAATAACTGCTATCGATAACCCTATTTTGAACCTTGTCTTTCCCGTAAAATTCCCTTTTTTGTGACTTTAAGGCTGATTAAACATTTTTCTAATTCAGTCTGACAGTCTGATTATCTTTGATGACTCTGAGGGAGTTTTTTTTAAGACAAATATTAATGCAATGTGATTATGATGCTGAAACACTCCAGTTATCTCTCAGCCTACCAGCTTCCCTCTCACTGTGTGAGGTGGGTCACACAGTGGGTTGAATAAGGGGAAGGAAAAGCCTGCATGTCCAGACTGTGTTATCTTTATCCTCGCTCCATCCTGTATCACTGCTGGGCTGGAGCTGGCTCTTCACTGTGTTGACGACATTTTATGATCCGACCTCTGACCCCTGCATGTACTTAATCGCCATGGCGACTTGAGGAGACCTCCCTGATGACTTTCCCAGGAATTCTGAGGCAAAGTCGCTGCTCTGATCTCAGATCAGCTCTTATCTTCCAAAGTACATGGTGACCACTGGAGACAGAGTCGCAGACTGAAGTCAGAGCAGCTCTTCAGACATAAGGGCCACATACGTTGGTTCCCAGGGTGGAAGTTAAGAGCGGCCAATAAAACCCAGCCAAGGGTCACACATCTCGACATTATCACAACAACAAATGAAAAATGCTGGGAAGTGGTGTTGGCTGATCTTCCCAATTGCCCACTTAATGACACATTTATACATCCAGTGAATGCTGATGGTGAAATCTGACATTCACAAGTTCACAATGTTTTAAAAATAAATTTTAAAAATGATTTTCTTCTTCACGTGTGTTTAAAATGATCCTTTTTTGTTCGACTGCTCTGCATCTCATCTTCTTATATCTTCCTTTGTATTATCATAATTGTTAATGTGTAGTTTAACTAATTCAAGCACTACAACACATGTCCAACTGGTGCATTAGTGTGCCTCTGACAGCTTAAATATTCTCTCAATAAAAGCTCAAGTAGCTACACAGTTTAAAGAACTTTTTATCACGTGTACAGTAAGACAAGTAGATACCACAAACATGACGACAGCACATTATTTTGACTCCATCATGGTGATAATCTTTATGGAGGAAAAACATGGTATGTCTATCAGGAGATTCTGGCATCTTGCTGTATATCAACTAAACCATTCTTACGTCTCCTTTTACTAGAACTTTACGATTAAACTCGAAGTCAGCATCTAACTCGTCCCATATATACTCCACTGGAAAACCTAATTTAAGTTCCACAGGTTGTAAAACACTCATTGGAGAGGATTTCACTGCAAAATGCTGAAGAAATAAACATGTCAGCTTGCCATTTGTTATGAGACAGACTGCTGGATACCTTTAGTCTTTTCTTGTGTGCATGTGTGTCTTATCATCTCCATTGCCCCCCAGCACCTTGACAGAGCCCAGCTGCTTGCAACTGCTGATACAGAGTCTCTTAGACCTCACACAACATAGCTCACCTGAGAAATGCGTGTGTGTAAGTGTGTGTATCAGGGGTGTCTGGACATACCAGTATTGTTTTCTTGTACTACTGACTACTGTCTGTATCTCAAATTGCCCCTTGGGTACATTAAAGTTTTACCTTACATTACCTTATTTTTTAAAGAATAATATAGTGATATCATGTTAGTAATACACATGATAATTGTGTAAATAATCCAACCCCTCTTAAATCATTTTCGTTTTTTTTTTTTGTTCTTATTTTGTCTCCCTTTTCACCGTACTAAACTCATATTTTGAGTGCAATTCATTTCCCCAAAAAAGAGAGAAAATGCACAATAAACAAAGTTAAGGATGAACTTTACTGATAACATTATTATTTTCATATTTTCTTTAATATTGCGATGTTTCTAGCTCAAGCCAAACTGATCTTTATGCTTTATAGGATACAAATAGATTCATATTTGAACACATCTAGGTTCAAGAGTCTTTCTACTTGACTTGAAAGTCTCTATACATACAGATATAACAATGACATTCCTGTTTGTACCAATGTTTATTTATGTTTAGAATTTTTTCTTTCTCCTATGGCATCACAGTTATATTCATTTAATATCCCCACAAAGAGCACAGGGGTCTGGGGAGACAATGAGCTACCTCTTTGACCTCTAAGCATTTTCTGTCACTGTCCTCCTCAGCTGACATGACAGGAGTTTAAGCACTTGTCCTCCTCCTCCTCCTCCTGCTCCACAATCTCACTTTAACAACATGAGGTGTATTTTGGTCACTTTATGGGAAGTTTGACAGCTTCAAATGAAATAAATGTGGTTGAAAACCAGTCACATTATGATCAGTTGTGCTTTTAATGGATTTATTTTTCATTTACTTTATAATAATATGTGTGTTAAACCATTTCCAGCTACACAACTCATTTGAGGTGTTTTAGAAATAAAGCTCTTTAGTGTTCAGCCCTTCAGCCTCATATTGACACTTGTTTCCAAAAACAAATCCTGAAACAAGTGAAACGGTGGGCTGAGCAAGTGGAATAATACATGGAGTTATACATTATCATTTTGCCATCTGTAACCCTGTTGTTTGTGGAGAGAAACTGGGCATAAGTGACTGTCACTGTTTGCGGTGATGTGTTTGAGTTTCCATCGGTCTCTTTACCTTGTAGGAGTGATGATAGTGCCAGGACATGTCGTCTTCCTCTGACGCATAATCCACCAGCACTTTACTCTTGCTTTTTTTGAACATATCTCCACTTGTCGCTGAAACAAGCCGTCTTGCTCGCTGTTTAAACAAAGTTGCCTTCTTTGGCCAAAAACCTAAAGTTCACCCTGAACAGTCTGATCCCGTTTTCTGTGCAGATCGCAGCGACGCACCACCACCCAGCGCGTTCCGCTCTTGAGGTTATTTCTCCAGCAGCAAATCCAGGAGGCTTTCTCTGAAAACAACTTATTCATTCATACAAGTGCCAGGAGCTGCAAGGATCGAGCTGCTTTTTTTATGACGCTCACCATTTCGTAAGAGTTTGGCGTGGGTTTGGTGCGTTTTTACGCAGGCTCGGCCACCTGGACTTCAAAACGTCGCTCCTCCCATTGCCCCCCCCTCCTGGTCCGGTTCCTTGAAGTTGCCATGGCAGAAGGAGGAAGGGGTCATACGTCTCATCTCTGGCCAATGCAAGCATTGGGCTACGCATTCATGCAAAATAATGTCACTTTTTTCATATTCTGAATGACTTAAGGCTGGGAAAACACGGAAACTGATATTTGGAAGTTATTATGTGACACCAAGGACTCAAATTTTATAAATAGATGGATTTGTTTTTTGTTTGAATTTCATACTGTGACCTGTTCCATAGTGGTAGAGGAAGTACACGGATCCTTTACTTGAGTACAAGCACCAACTAAACAATGTAAACTAAAAATCTTATGTAAGCAGAGGCACTGTCAGCAAAATCTACTCAAAGTATCAAACATAAAAGCACTTAAAATGCAGCAGAATGTCACCTGTCAATGTTATATTATTATATTGGATTATTATGACTGATGCCTAAACATGTCAGCAATATTTTAATGTACTGTTCAAGATGGAGCTAATTTTACCACTGTATATGTTCTGATGTGCGGGTTCATCGGCAACAGTTCATTTGATTTTAAAAAATGTTTAAGAATATAATGTCAATCTTGCAAACTACAGCTGTCATATAAATGTAGTCCCACAAGATTATGGAAAGTACTCGAGCATTGAGGGTATGGAGATGAAACTAACAGTAGGGTCAGCAAGGCTAACGTAGGACTGACTACTGACAGTGGTATTGAGTTCGAGAGAAGATTTTGTCCTCAAATGCTATAGTCGATTAGACGTCAAAGCTGGTTCCTTCTTTCGTCGCAAAAGTGGCCAAGATACTGAGAGCGTTTAAAATCAAAAAGGCCACTGGTCTTGAAAGCATAGGTATTAGATTCCCTAAAAGGTGCATCTGTCACAGTTGCTCAGTATATAAATCATGTTCTCAATCTTTCTCTTGATCACAGTGAACTGACTTAAAACTCACTTAAGTCTCTCCAATCTAGAAAAAGCAGAGTAAATCTGACCCATGTTTTAACAGGCCTGTCTTAGTTTTAAGCATAATATCTAAGGTTTTTGAGAAAATTTAATATTTTTAAATTTATGAACAACCATGAAACCACAATCTACTTTATTAGTTGCATAATTGTTGTGCCACAAATTATTGTGTTTTACATCCTGCAGATTTTATAAGGAGGGAAATAGATGTTGGCAAAATGCGCGGTCTTGTTCCTCTGGGCTTGCAAAAAGCCTTCGACACAGCCAATCATAGGACTTTTCTTGATAAGTTAAAGGCCCTTGGTATGGATGGCACAGTTCTAAGAGGGATGGCTTTATATTTACCAGGAAGGGATCAGCAGGTTGAGGCTGGTGGGCAGTTATTGGAGGCCATGTAAATGACTTATGGGGTGCCCCAGGGCAGTGTGCTGGGTCCTCTGCTCTTTGTACTTTTTTTTTTTTAATGCTGTATGTAAATTCTCGTCAAATTACTTAAGATAAACTAAAAAAATGCAGTGAAGTAAAAAGTACCACATTTCACTCTGAAATGTTGTGGAATAGAAGCACTTTAGAGTAGCTAAAAATAGAAATACTCAAGTAAACTACTGGACACAGGCCTTTAGGGACCCAAAGTGTCAGGTCCCCCGTGGCCTTCACCTGCAAAATCTAATACAAACTAACACGCACTGACCATAAAGAGACACAAAACACCATCAAGACATGCAAAAGAACTCCAAAGAGATACAAATTAACTAAAAAAGAGGCAAAATAATTGCAAAGAGAAGCAAAATTACTACAAAGAGACAGAAAGCCACAAGAAGATGTGCTGTGTAACGATTACAAAAGATGCAAAACAAGAAAGAGATGCAAAATCACCACATAGTCTGTGTTTCCTGTTCCTATGCAAGAGAGATGTTGGGGCCTTTTGCATGTCTGTACCCAGGGGCTTGTTGTCTCATTATCTGCCCATGCTTATTATCATCTATATATAATATAAAGTATATCATGTAGGCTGATACTTATGTTGCCTAATAACATGTCAATATGTAGTGATAATTGTTTTGTCAAAGTTTTTATCATTAGTGTATTTCTGATGTTCTGATGTGTGTTACCACAGTGGGATCAGCTACACTAGTTCTGTATTCACAAATAAAGAAAGACACACAAGCACTACATTAAAAAAGAAACAAACAATCTAAATCTGGATCTTGGTTGTTTTTTTAAATCAATCATTAAAGTCAAACAATGAGTGTAATTATTAAGATAAGTTATTTGGTCAAAGGCCTTTACTCTTTGCTGTTATCTTTCAAATCCTTTCAGCTTGCAGTGACCAAATCAATTCATCACTCTTCTTGGAGTCCTTGACGTAAAAACAACTGGATAGTTTGTTTAAGTTTTTTTTAAAAGGCTGATCTGGTATTTACTAGAGACACAGACTGTTTGTTGTATAAGATAAAACTCAGAGCTCTGCATTACAGTAAGGTCTGTGAGTCACATTGCTCTTTTCCTGTTTGTAGTAGAAATGTGAGCATAATGTAACAGACGACTTTTTAGAGTTAGTGGTTAATGTATTTCACTGAGAATGAAATCTCTCTCCCTTTCTGCCTCTCTCTGTAAGACCTCTGACGCCAGGGGAAACAAATGACACATTATGCTGGCGGGCTGACCTCTTAAAATAGCCACAGTTTAGCTCCAGTTAAGACCACTCACCTGATTCGGAGGTTCTTAAATTCCCATTTCAATGTCCACATTATACAGTAAAGTCAGCGGGGAATGTGGAGTGCTAGATGTGTAAAAACTTTCAGGGAAAAAAACAAAAGGGAAACACAGACACAGACACAGACGTTCTGCCCAGAAAAGGTTTAGAGAAAGTGATGTTTTTGAGTTGGGCAATGTTGCACTCAGTGTGTCAATAAAGCCTAAACTGAAAAATATATATTTTTTAAGTCTTTATGGTGCATTTTGGGATGCTCTGAATGCTCCAAAAGTCATTAAAATTTGCACAGTTGTCAGAAGTGCTGAAAATAGATATCTGATATTGGTTTTAAGTTTGGGCGTGTCAAATTGGCTCAACAGCGCCCCCTAAGTGTTCTCAAAGTAAAAGACCCCACCTTTAACTTTAACATACAGGCCATTTCTAGGGGTCATACTTTGACGAACTCCTCCTAGAGATTTAATTTTTGTATGTAATTGTCTTTAAATACTGTTATTTACTCATGTAGTCTTCACATATCACTTAGGTCATTCATATTTTTTTTACATGTGCTGTTATTATTTAGAAAAAAGAAGGTCCTTGTTCAGTACTGTTCATAATAAATTATTTGTATATGGTTTGGTGTCAGCTCTTCATTAGCACCAGCTGACACAAGCCAAGACTGGCTGTTAAGACATGTCCATCATCCGTCAGCAGGCAGGTCAGTGATCTCTGACCCCTGAGGTCAGCAGTGGGTCAACTGTCTATTTGAGATCCCTTCTAGGACGAGTATTCCCACAGTATCTTTACAGCGGTTATTTACAGTCTGAGTGGCCCTGGATGCCAAGACGTATGTCCCTAATCAATCCTCCTGATTGTTTCTGCCCTACAGTGACACTAGAACTCAACTCACGTCCTCGATACTGCGTCAGGAGGATGAATTGTCCACCAGGTTCACCGTTTTTGTGTATTTGATGGAGGCATAGCTACTGAAACACGTTTTGTTTTCAATGTATTTACAAGGACAAACAGCTTCACCCTATAATATTATAAAGAGAGCTGCTTTTAGAAACACATTTTGCCACCTTCATGTTGAGAACTATGTGTACACAACTCATAGACTCTGAATTTTGTTTCTTTTCTTATTTATTTATGTATTTCTTTATTCATGATCCCCATTAGTTGTTACCGCAGTAGCGACTACTCTTCCTGGGGTCCACCTACTCGTCCTCAGGTTTAAAGCCTTTCTTAGGCCTTTATTGTTTCAATATAATATTGTGCTTATATAGTGAATTTTTACTGAATAATAATGTGTGTATGAGTTACCACAGAAACATTTTACTTTTACCCTACTGTTCTATAAGCACAATATAATAACAGCACAACATATAACATTTATTAAATGGTTTCTAACACACTAAAATGTAATTATATGCCGATATAAGTGATTATTAATGCACAGTATTTATCACCAATTATAACTTCTCCTATATACAAATACTTTTTTGTGATTACAACAGTTTAGACATGTCGGTTACCACAAAGTACTGACTGATCACTCACTAAAGTTTCAGTAAAGGCCAATATCTCATTTCTGCCCTCTAGTGGGTTAACCCCGCCCTGTAGCGATTACAGCATGTCATGATGTACTGTACGTGCGTGAACATGTACTGTATGTGTACTGTTAAGGCACATGGCACTGACATCAGCTGCTCTGATCACTAGGACGCCAGGTCAGGTCTGACGGGGTCACGCAGGCATGGTGGGACACAGCTGGGATTATCCAACCTGCTTCAAATGTCTCACACGGACACAGATGTACTGTACAGCTTAGACTGGGCCTGAACAGTCTGGGGCAGTGTGCTTAATTGTGCTTCACCAAGATGTTGGAACAACTGAGGAATATTGTTTGGCAGAAAATTCAATGAAGGTCTAAAATTCCTGGAGATCACAGGTTGTTATGATTTTAAAGTGGTAATAATAAGTGTTTTTCATTTACTGTGGATCACAGAGAATTATTATCAGTCTGCAGCCTCTCTAAATAATTAAAGGTCCCGTATCATGCTAATTTCAAATTTCATACTTGTATTTTGGATTTCCACAACAAAAAACATGTTTTCATGTTAAAAAAGACATGCTCTGGGCTTCCCTGCATGATCATTGCAGCTGGGGAATAACTGTAATGGCACTGTACCTGCACTTTCTCTTTTTACATAGTATACTTGTGACATCACAACTTTGTGGAAGTCCTGATGGCTGTTTAAATTCACAGTTTCTGAATACGGACTGTGTGCATTTC